CTGTGGTGGGTTATACATCACTGCAATTACCACCTTGGGACCTCCAGCGTGAAGCGTTCCCGCTATGTAATCACTTTCTTCTCCGCTGTTTCCTCTCTCCAGCTCATCAAAATTCCATCAGTTTTTGATCAGCAGTGCCACCCCTCCACCCCCCCCCCACTGTTCCTTCTGTCTTTCCTCAGGATCTGGTATCCCATTGGAAAGATGGCATCTGTTATCATACCTGTAAGCTTGGTTTCTGTGAGAGCTATGATGTCCGGTGATGCCTCTTTGATTCTTTCTTGCCACTCCTCCCACTTGTTTGTTATTCCATCAGCGTTTGTGTACCATACCTTCAGTTTCCTTTCCAACACTGTGGCTTGGGGGGCCTGTGGGGGTGGGAGACCTGGTAGCATACTGTGGGATTCTATAGTTGGGGGTTTGGTTGAAGCTGTGGGTATGGATTATAGTGTGTGTTGGGATGGTGTGATAGGTTGTGGGGTTCTGAAGATAGTTGTGTGTGTACTTGCCCTTGCTGCTCTGACCTCTGCTGGTTCCATCCTTGTCTCCTTTCCTAGCTCCTTTCACTTTTTTGTCCTCTCCCTCAGCTGCTGTCGCTCTGTATTCTGTCTCTGCCTAGGAACACCTTCTACTCTTCCAATTTTTTCAACCGTGGTTTCTCTTGGAGGATCCTGTTCCACACTGTTTCTGTCCTGAGAATCAGCTTGATCGGTCAGTTTCTCCCCTTCAAGTACCCCCCTATTCTCTGAAAATTTACAATCTCGTCCATGTCTTCTCCCCCTATTTCTGTGATGATTTTCTTAATCTCCTTTCTTTCTTCCTGCCGTCTTTCAGTGTGTGTCCTTTCCTCTCTCTCCTGAAGCCCATGGATAAACGCTGATTTTGCCCTTTCCTCCTCCCATTGCCTCTCCCTCTGTGACTCTGGTTCCTGTCTGTATGTGGTCATTTTCTCTTGGTAGCATGGTTGTACCTCAGCAATCGACCTATCTCCCTCTCCATCCGCACCCAGCTGCTCTTCCCTTTCACTCCTTGGCCCTTCTTTGCAAGCTGATGTGACCTTAGCATAATTCATATCTCCTTCCTGTTCAGCCTCTCAGCTTCATATGCTGTGTCTTCTCTGGTCACTGCCCCTGAGACTTGCCTCAGCCTGTTTACTTCAAATTCTAGGACCCTTACCCTGGCTACTGCAGTTTCGACTTGTGCCTCCTAATTCTTCGTCTCCTTCTCCAACCTCTTTTCCAATTTCACAGAGTGCTCTTTCTCCATTTTTTTCAGAAAGCTCTCCTAATTTTCTCTCCCATTCTTGTTCCATCCTTTTCCACTGCTCCTCCATCCATTCCTCCCTACCAGTGCCAATGTCATTTGATCCCTGATTCCTGCGAGTCCCAACCATTTTTTTTAGTGAAAGAGAGAGAAGGGAAAGGTAGAAGGAGAGGGGGAGAGTGAGAAGGGAAAGGGGGAGAGAGTGAGAGAAAGAGTGAGAAGGGGAGGGTAGAAGGAGAGAGGGGGAGAGTGAGATGGGGAAAATGGGGAAGAGAGAGTGAGAGAAGGGAAAGGTAAGAGAGAGAGGGGGGAGAGTGAGAAGGAAAAAGGGGGAGAGAAAGAGTGATAGAGGGGGAGAGGGAGAGAAGGGAAAGATAGGAGAGGGAGAGAGTGAGAAGGGAAAAGGGGGAAGAGAGTGAGAGAGAGAAGAGAGGGGAGGGAAAGGGGGAAGGGGAGAGAAAGAGTGAGAGAGGGGGAGAGGGAGAGAAGGGAAAGATGGAAGGAGAGAGGGGGAGAGTGAGAAGGAAAAAGGGGGAAGTGAGAGGGAGAGGGGAAGGAGAGAGGGGGCAAAGAGAGGGGAGAGAGAGGGGGAGAGACGATGGGGGAGAGAAGGGAGGGTTAGAGGGTCAATTCACAGGAAGGTGTGAAATCCTGTATGTGTGTGTGTGTGTGCTACAGCTATTCAAGTGTCTAACAGCAGATCCTGTACTCACCTAGTGTGTGTGTGTGTGTGTGTGTGCATGTGTTTATGTAAGCAGTCCTAATTTCCCACGTATGTACTACATATGTATTGCATATGTACCCAATCTCTTGGTTCCCACTGTATACTAGGCCTCGCCTGTGTGTGTGCCACTACCTCTCATTAACTGCTTAACTCTCCTACACCTCAATAAATTCTATTTAATGCCAGTAATTTCTGCTTATTCTAATTCTGATAGCTTGAGGAGAGTGACCCCCAATTTCGAGCTAGAGACTGGTACTGTTGACCCCATGCAACTCAAACTAGGTGAATATTACGTGCGGCTGGCAGTGGAGTAACGTTGCCGGTCTGTCCAGTTCCTGGGTCCCACGTAGTTGAAGATGCTTGATGCTTCTCTGTAATTTTTCCACTAACTTCCTGTAGGCACTGTAGTCACTAGCTCATCTAATTTTTTCACTCACTCACTGTGTTTACTGACACATCTATACATATCTCTTATCTCCCTGGTCTTGAGTCACACTTATTCTTCAAATACCCCACTGCATTATTATGGGAACACTATTTAGGCCTGACACGACCGTTCACCTTCCTTCCCCCGGCCCCCACTTAGCACTTGGCACTATTTACTATGTTTTCTTTTCTGTGATCACTTATATTTCCTTTTTTCGGGGTTTAAGTGATTATATGCACTCTTATACGTGCACACGCCTATATCCCACACTCTATTTCTTATGGTACAGTCAGAAATTACCACCAAAACACGAGCTCAAACCGCGTGACTCCTCGTGTGTGTGTGTGTGTGTGTGTGTGTGTGTACTCACCTAGTTATACTCACCTAGTTAATGTTGCAGGGGTCGTGTCCAAGCTCCTGGCCCCGTCTCTTCACTGGTCGCTACTAGGTCACTCTCCCTGAACCGTGAGCTTTATCGTACCTCTGCTTAAAGCTATGTATGGATCCTGCCTCCACTACACCGTTTCCCAAACTATTCCACTTCCTGACTACTCTGTGGCTGAAGAAATACTTCCTAACATCCCTGTGATCCATCTGTGTCTTCAACTTCCAAATGTGTCCCCTTGTTACTGTGTTCCATCTCTGGAACATCCTGTCTTTGTCTACCTTGTCAATTAGTCTCGGTATTTTGTATGTCGTTATCATGTCCCCCCTATCTCTCCTGTTCTCGAGTGTCGTCCAGTGTGTGTGTGTGTGTGTGTGTGTGTGTGTGTGTGTGTGTGTGTGTGTGTGTGTGTGTGTGTGTGTGTGTGTGTGTGTGTGTATGTGTATGTGTGTGTATGTGTGTGTGTTTGTGTGTGTGGGGGTGCGGGAGTTGTGAGGGGGAGAGAGGTGGTTAGAGGGAGGAGGGAGACAAGAGTGATGGAGAGGTAGAGAGAGAGTGGTAAGGGAGGGAGAGAGAGAGAAAGGGGGGAAGGGAGGCAGGGAGGAGGGAAAAGCGAGAGAGGGGAGGATGGGTGGGAGGGAGGGAGAGAAAAGATCGCGAGAGAAAGAGAGGGGGAAAGGAAGAGAGGGAGGAGGAGGATGGGGAAGACTAGGAGGAAGAGGAGGAGGAGGAGGAGGAGGAGGAGGAGGAGGAGGAGGAGGAGGAGGTAGGTAGGTGGGTAGGTAGGTAGGTAGGTAGGTAGGTAGGTAGGTAGGTAGGTGTGTGTGTGTGTGTGTGTGTGTGTGTGTGTGTGTGTGTGTGTGTGTGTGTGTGTGTGTGTGTGTGTGTGTGTGTGTGTGTGTGTGTGTGTGTGTGTTTTTACCATTGTTTTTACGCATACAAAACAATTACATATATACTAGTTCTCTCGAATATTAACATCAAACACATTTCTGGAAGCGGAGAAGAGAGAACGGCTGTGATTCGATGTCACTGGTGCAGGCTGCGAAATGTCGCTAGTCAGGGGAGTTAACGGGCTTCTTGTGATTCGTGAAAGCTTACCTCTGAGATTTAAACATCGGAATCATATCCTTTGGCGTACTCAGAAACAACTCCAAAGACCAGGTAATCAATGGAAAAATGTCAGCCATCACTACAGGTCAATACGTCTCGAAATCTGCACAGTTGATGATACACTAAAAATCATTTCTTGTTAATGGTCTAGATATTGTGTATATAAGGCAGCGGGAAGCGAGGAGACGCCAAGTCACACTCACAACATCGCCATGGTAAGACAAGTTTATATTGTTCTTTCAAGGTTTTGCTGACTGGGTATATTTGTAGTGACAAGTGGTCATTGTGGAGCACGATATCGTATCTGACCACCAGCCAAATTGTTTAGGCAATATACGTAAACCCAGTGTAACAAAATACGTGAGCAAAGTAACATTAATGAAGCGACTCAGAGAAACAGGTTATTCGGACTTGACTCTTGGAAGTGGGAAGGATAGCACAGTTCTAAGTAAGTTTATTCAGGTATACACAAAATACAGAGGGACTTATTTCGACTTAAGCACTCTTCTAGCAAGACAGCGATTGAGAGAGTAAGGGTCAATACGTTTCCTCTTTTATGGGGAGATGGGTCACTCTACACAGTTGGAGACCGATAATGTATTAAAACAGTGTAGATTCAAACATAAGAGTAAGATTGTGAGAGAAGAGTGGCAAAAACTCACAAGGAGACTCTATATTTCTCCTCAGAGGGGGGGATGCAGTTCTACATTTGAAAATGGGAGATTTTTAATATTTTCCCAATAATGGAGTAACCTGAAGATTCGTTACTTATGTAAGGAAAGCATTTAATTACAGTTATCCAAAACTTTAAACAAGTTATGCAGATTAAGCAAGTTTTATAATTCGTAAATTTCAACAAGGTCAGTTAAGGATGTTAGGTTACTTTTGGTGCGAAATATAAACAAAATATCAAATTTTATATAATATTAATTGTTTTTCCCATGGGTAATCCCGTAAATTTTGTGACTTGCAGTTATTTGAAACTCATAGTTACCCATATGCAAAAACAGGATCGTTGGCGAGGAAGGATCTCTTGCTGTTTGCATTTCAATATGTATCTCTAACTCGCAGCATTTTCACAATTTCAGAGTATTGTCAGTCTGGTGCTGGTACTTGTGACGCTGGTCCGGCTTGCCGAATCTGAAGGAAAACCTGAACTTTTTAGGGAAGATTACAATCGATACTCCATCAGAAGCTCTCTCAACAGAAGAACCCTAAATAGTGGCGCTGACGTTGGAGGTGGACTCCCTAATGACGCTCATGGAGGAAGCCTGCTTAGTGCCCCTCACAAGGACGGAGTCGTACTTAATGGCGTTCATGACGGAGGTTTTCTTAACGACGCTTACAACCGAGGACTGTTCAATGGAGTTCACAGCAGGTTTGTAGGAGAAAAAGGAGTATATGCTCCACCGGGTGGTTACTTTCACTATGGACGACAAAATGACCTATTTAGAAGTGGAACATTGGGATTTATTGGAAGTGTACACAAAGGATTTGGTGGAGGCATGGTAAGAGGGCACATGGTCGTATCAGGAACAAGACATGGTGGCTCTGTTGGACTTGGAGGCACCATAGGATCAAAATTTGAGAGAAGAAATGGCGAAGGAAACGTTGCTGGGTTCGGCAGAGGTATCTCTTACGACGGTAGACACGTGGCTAAATTCGCTACCAGCGTCAATCACTTCAGTCTTGGAACACCACTGGCGGTGTATGGCGGCGGTATTCTCCTTAACGGCAAAACAGTCTTACACAGAGGCTTCTTGGATGTTCAATCTGCCGGTACTTATGGACCAGGAAGATCTCTTGGAGTTCTCTCTTTAGGTTACGGAAGGTCGTTTGCTGCTCATAACGGGTTATATGGCTCTGGGAGACCTTATGAAGCTCTCCTTTCAGTCTTTCGAAAGTCTGCTAATTTTCACGACTCAAGGAATCTTCTCGGATCTCACAGCCCAGGATTTGAAAGATTCTTCGGTGTTCATTCTTGCGTTGGAAATTTTTATGGAAGAGGTTATGGAAGAAATTGAAAATAAATCTTTGTATATTATACAATGAGTAGTCTTGTACAGGGCGACCGAGGCATCTGAGTGTAGTTTCAGAATTTCTTTGTTATTTGTTTTACCCATGTTATTTATAATAATAAAATATATGTCAATTCTGAGAATATTATTTCCCTCAAATTTTTGCAGTTGTTATATTTATAACTGCAGGATTTAATGATACGATTAAAAACACAAGGAAATAATGATCTGGATGAATAATCCCTTTATCCATACTCACCTCAGGATTTATCATCCCGTCATAAGATGCCATATATAAAATGGTAATATTTACCCACAGTACATTGGTAACGACTCAAGAGGTTTATGGTATTTTATCAAAAGTCGTTTCGTCTTCCAGGAATGTTACCAAGTTTGACATGTGAGTATTATTCTTCACCGTGCTAAATACCACGCTAAATACTCAGTACACACATACTCACCTATGTACTCCCACATCATAACTACGTCAATCACTTTGAACCTTTTATCCATTGTTGACAGGAATATAATTGAACCATTGTTTTCACAAAAATCATTTTAGACTATATGAATATAACCTTTGTCTTATACAAATTTAATGCACTTATAATTAATAATCTACTGTTCAACTATGAAATAATTACTGTCCTACTGTACAACTATGATAAAATCCTTAGTATTAAGTAGTCTGTAAATCAATAATGTTAAGTTGGCCCACAATGCCTAGGCATAATAGAGGCTCTCTTTGCATTGCAACCCACTATTGTAAATATAAAATCTCAATGTGCTGTTTGCAAAGACATGAAATAAATAAATAAATATTTGCTGGTTTACCCACTGATGTTATCGGAGGTTATACTTGCGATGCTCAAGTTACTCACAGCTAGTGTCGTCTAGATTACAGTTTGATTGGCTTATCGCGAGAACTTTTATTATCAGCTTCGTTGTGGTGTTGTATAGGATTTTCTATTATCCTGGTTGGATGGTTAACTGGATTTAAAAAAAAAATCCTATATGTTAGAAAAAATGAAAATATTCGAAAATAGTGAAATATAAAAGTTCCTCATTTCAAATGTATTCAAAAAATTCTCAATATTTGCCTTAAAATGAAGTTTGGAGAGAAAGTTTGATTATCAGACAATAAACTACACGAATCAGTCTGCCTGGAACCTGTTGCCCTGACCACCAGACAAGTAAACTTTAATTCCTATAATAGGGATTAAAGACTTTGTAGATAGAATCGCATCCTCTCCTCATGTATTATGTAACCTAATGATTACTAATCTCTGAACGAATTGATAGTCACTGGAGGACGAAATGTCTTCGAATATAACACAGTTAGTCCCCCCATTGTGCCGTTACTATCATCGCTCATTATAATCTTCATAATCATCCTCTTTTTCATCTCGGTAGCTTAATAAAAAAAATTAAGAGTACTTGTACAAGGACCATAATACGCTTTAAACACATTTTGCAACCAATGTTCTCTAGCAAATTCAGCGGCAGCTTCATAACACGTGGAATTTTGTTATTAAATTAAAAAATACGCCTTAAATCAGTATGGGTCACATAACGCTTCCCAATTTTTCCAATACGAAAACATTGTTTTGCGAGTGAAGGAAAAAAAACCGCAAGAATGGCCCGCCTGAAGGTCGACTTGTGTTGTTGATAGTGCTGTGTCACTCACGTTAGACGAAATGAGGTCAATCACACCTAGTTCAAATGTTTTAGGAAAAACGCATTTGTATTTATTTATTCTTGTGTGTGAGAGCCGTTTAGATTAGTCAATGGGTTTTAACGCAGACAACAGCTTCATTACTGAGAGGGCAGTTATTAAAGAACGTAGGATTGAGCCTCCACCACTCCTTGCACTGAGCTTAGTGCTTCACAGAACAAACCAACCCAACTCTAAGTGTATATATACACTTAGAGTTTGGTTTAATACCTGTTTCAGGGTTTAAAGTATTTATGACCCTCGTAAAGCTATTTAGCTTTACGAAAAAGGAAGTAAAGCTACCAAGAAGAGGAAAGATCGTAGACACGAGAGTAACGTGTGTGTATCACAGCAAACAACGCTTTCGTATATAAATTCACAGCGACTTACCAATCGCCTTCAAATTTTCAACCCTGGTGAACTATAACCAGGGAAAGGTTTACGAAACAGGTGTCACGTAAAGGCGCTCTCTGGTCATTGTAACATACGTCAGATCGAAAAGTACTTCGATGTTACAATTACTACCATTAGTGCTAATTGGGTACCTCTAATTCTCAGAGAAGAGAATAAATGCTTTTTAGGGGAAACTCTAGGAATTTCTCCAGGGAATTGTTTAAATATTTTTCCCCTCCCACCTCGTATATGTATTTGTGTGGATATTATATAATACAACATTAGCAACGACAACGTTGTAGTTATTGTAGCAAAAACATTTTCTTCTGGCGAGCATGCGATGTAGTCCTCATTGAATCAGAAAACCCAGAAACGCGTTCTAGTGCCCACATAGCTCTGGGACCAGTTTCTGGAGCTGTTAATGGATATATACAATAAATTTAGTAGATATATTTATTTATAACACGGCATAAGAACAGATCACAAACATTTCCATTATTATTATTATTATTATTATTATTATTATTATTATTATTGCTGTTGTTTCTTACCCGGGAGTCAACAATCTCGATACAGTCAAGCGAGAGTTTTCATTCCCAACGTAATATAAAAAAAATCAATGTCCTATTATCTGAGAAAGCTATTGTTGATCGTGACATCCGGTTGTGAAAGAGACTCGACTGGGGAGGGAGTACCACATGGTCAGCCGAGAGCAAAGGTCTTAAAATTAAGTTTATAAATAAAACTGAAGAAATGAAGCAGATATAAAATACTGTAAATCTTTAACATAGATTGGATTTGCAGCGACTGATTTTAACTGCAATAATTTTGATAAAGAAAGGATGCAGGCTAGCACTGGTTTGACAATAGAATTATAGATGAGTGGAACAAAATGCTAAATAGCTGGTAGAACGACTGTTCGTATAGTGCAAGAGTTTCGTTCAAAGTAGAGCTTTATCATGATTGGTAAAGCTCTACCCAGAGCGAAATTTCATTTATTATAAAGCAGTGATCTGACCCAAGTGTCTTTACACCATACTAGTCGCCAATAGCGTCAAATAACATCTTTAAAAATAATAATACATGAGTGAAACAAGGTGTGAGTGGGACTTGTTTACCATGGGCTGGTACTACAGTGCTCCTCTTATGCTTGTGGTTTATTCGTTAGGGAAAATAAAACTGACACGATTGTCATAAGGTGATCTGTTCAGTGATTCCGGTGCTCTGACTGGGACACGGCAAGACTATGTCTAAAGACATGGGAAATTGTCCTAGCTGATGGCTGAGCGCAGCACCTGCGACCACTAGCTTGTCCATTTTTTAAATGGGTGGACTGGTATGTCAATGGAGTTAGAAAAAACAGTCTCGGGGCTATGGTTGCCATTAAGCCTGATTCCCATCGTCTATGTGGAGTTAAAATTACCTTGTAAAATACTAATCTCAGAAGGCTAGTTGACAGCTTGTGCAAGTGTTCCCACTCTCTGTTCAGGGATATTTACCACCTGTAAATATAAGCTTGGGATATTGAATTTTCACATCCAACTAGACTGAGAGGAGAAAAATCAGTGCTGCCAAGAGAGTAATTATCCGTCATTAGATGAATGTGCTACACCTAAAAGTTACGAAACACAGATGTGCAACACAACAAGAAGCGTAGTTGCAGCTTAATACAATTGCAAGTTTCATTATTTTCTTAATAGTGAAATATAACATAATCTACATCTATTTGCAGTAATGTTTTGGCGTGTTTTTCATACACACCTATGCAAAACAACCACTGTGAAAGAATAGTGAAATTCCAAGCGCTTTCGTGACTTCTCACGTTATCAAGGAACTACATATAATTCCTTGGTAATGTGTGAAGTCACGAAAGCGCTTGGAATTTCACTATTTTTTCTCAGTGGTTGTTTTGCATATTTTGATATCACCTGTTTACTGTGATCTTATTGCATACACACCTATGTATGTGAGCATATATATACTTTTACGTATATACCCTGTGATACTGTTATACATTTAATTCTTTGAAGGTATAAAAGTTTCTATGTCCGTTTTATATTTACACGTTTGTGGTCGCAAGTAATTTTATCAGATTTAAAGTATGTTAACTGATCACGGGTCATAACATCTGTATTTAACCTTTAAATACCAGAAAAAGCTGTTATGTATGCTAGTACTATATTCTGTAATCGGTTAGAGGTGACGGTACACGACTTTCATATATTTTTTTCCTACAGTATATATTATTTAGTAATGTAAGTTAATTTAAGAATAAATAAGGTGTAAATGGAATGTCGAACTGGATTATTCCTTCTTCAAAAAAACATTTCCTTTTAAATTATTTAACTTAAATAAACCGCACAGGTTGAATTGCTTAAATTGTGGCATTTTTGTTAACATACGTTAATTATTACTTTACTAATATTAATATTCATAATAGGTTTCCAGTACTACTGTTTAGTCTGTGTGTTATAGGAGGCCTGAGCTTGCTACCATCTGCAGCTCATAAGACTGCCATCCCCACGAGCCCCTTTGGGGCGGTGCAGATGGCAGACCAGAGGCCTAGCTTCTCCCTACGAGCCCCGTGAGGGCGGGGAATGTGGCTAGGCCTGGGGACAGTTGGTCCCAAAGATAAGGGGGTACTTGTACCTCCTCCCATGGGAGACTTAAGTCTCGAGACACTCCCCAGATAGGGAGCCAAGGCCGGGTCACCACTACTTGGAAAAGACCCGGGCCGGGAGAATACCGGCGAAAAAAAAAAAAAAAAGTCTGTGTGTGTGAGAGAGAGAGAGTACTCGTCATCTAGGCTGGTTTGTGGTTCGGTGTTCCAAGACGGGCCGAAACGTCTTCATAAGGTTCCTAAATTGAGGGATTTTGGGGATTTGTTTCGGCTACGGTGTTGTGACTGTTGATTTTGTCTGGCTAGTAGAATTTCGACCGATTTACCGCGAGGACAGTTGTCTGTCAGTCATCATACAACATAATCTGAGCTAAGTTCTGAAACTACAAAGTAATTATTTATAGAAATGCATTAAG